CTCCTCTTGCTTCCTCCGGGCGGGAAGTGGCTCGGTACGCGGGCGCTCCCTGCTCGTCTGTCTGCGGATCGCCCCAGAGCTCGGCGCTGCGTGGATAGCTGCTTGCTCTCTGTTTCGGCGTGGCGGCTTGTTCGCACCACAGGTGGCTGCATTTCAGGAGGGCGAGCGAGCGCAAAATGCTAAATTTGGCAAAATGCCTTCGGACCAACAGCGTCAGGTCTCCAACACATTGCCAAAAACGCCACCAAAGTCACGGGGCGTCACACGAGCGTGAGATAAAAGGAGAGGGCTGAAGCCCCGGGGTGGGCGGGGGGAGCTTCGCACGTCAGCCGGGGCCGGAGCGCCTGCGGGGCAGAGCCGGGGCACCCGGGGCTGCGCTGGGTCAGGTCGCGAGCTCGCACGCGGTGAAACCGGCCTGCAGCCCAGGAAAAGAGACTTTAGTTCCCTCACATAAGAAAATGGAGCAGCAGTTCCTAAAATTCCCAATATCCTAATAATCCTAACGCCGTTCATCCAGGAGGAAGTAAGCTGCTAAACCCAAATCGGGTCTTTCTTGGGATTCCGAAACGCCGCCTTCACCCCCTCCCCAGCTGAAGCGGCGGGAGAAAGCGTCGCGCAGGCTCGCTCCGACGAAGGAAACACCGAGCGGTAAGGTGCTAGGGAGACCTAGAGGCCACCCGTGCTGTGCCGGACACACCGAGAGCGAGCCAAACCCACCGCTAACGGCTAACTGCAGCGAACCGGGATGTTTTCAGCGCAAGCTCTGACCTCCGTGTACTTTGAGTTGGGCTCGGCTTGCCGAATATACAGGCTCCACGTCAGCTGGGAGTAAAAATGTATTTTAAGCGAGCCTTAGATAGCACCTGTTAAACACCGTGCCGATAGGCCAGGGGAGGCAGGCCGAACCATACGTTTATCCTGTTTGTTTCTTTAACCGCCATAACCAACTCAAACAGACTTTAAACTTGCAGCCTGTCTTATCCAGAGCAGGGCTTGCCCGAGCTAGCTCACGTCTCTGCAGAGCCGAGCTGCTCCGATGGCGCTGGCGCTAGGACCAGACAGAGCCGAATTCCTCCCGGAGGCGCAGTCCTTCGGGACATCGAGCCGCGTTTTACCAGCCTTCTGGCGCTCTCGAAGCTGCTGCGGCTTTTAAGGCCAAACTCTCCCTGCCCAGAGGTAGTTGAGGGCTGTTAAGGCAGCAGGGACCAGTTTCGGCATCCCACGGGCAGCATCCACCCAGTGCACCGCATCCCGCGCGCTCAGCGTTTGTCTGGGCGTCCTGCGTCCCGCGCGCTCGGTGTTCACCTGCATCCTGCCCGCTCGGCGCTCGCCCGTGTCCCACGTGCTCGGTGTTCGCCTGTGTCCTGCCCGCTCGGTGTTCACCTGCGTCCCGCCCGCTCGGCGCTCGCCCGCGTCCCCCGTGCTCGGTG